TGTATATATATATATACATATATATATATGCATGACAAAACTGTTATGCGTTAAAATTGTCTCATGAACACGTAACTTATTTTCTCACATGTACACGTTATTATTTCTGTTATGCTTAATTCGTTATTTTAGGTAAATTGAAAGTTACTTCATGTTGTTCCGAACAAACTTTCGTGGTATTTTTGTAAGTAAAACAACTGGTTTAAAAAATCGACATTTTGGTTTTATAATTAACCATTTAATTCCAAGTCAAATTTAAAAATAAAATAAAATAAAATAGATAAAGGGTTAAAAAATTGAGGATGATGATGCAATGATTGCATTTATAAATAGAAGACGGTTCCAAACTTTTGTATGAAGGCCAATCAATTTTGGTCGCCTAACCATGGGACACGTGGAATTTATTACCACCACTAAACTAATCTAATCATACAAAACTCTCCTACATTTTAATTTGTTATCCTTGTTACATCCAATCCAATTTTTTAATATAAAATCCTATCAAACAAAAACCCTTAATTTTTTTTATTAACCTGGATATCCATCCCGCTATTCGAACCGACTAATCCCAGGAAGACCATCTGTTTTGCAGTTAGTCCGGAGTCATCGCATTTGAATCTCTGTAGGTACAAGGAGATTTTTGTTTCTTATTGAATTTGAGCATGAGACCTCCGTGGCCACAATAAGATTTTTGTTCTTTCTTGAATTCATTGAGAAAATAAAGAGGGTATGTTGGTGTGCATTATTGAGATGATTTATTTAAAGGATGTATATATGAATCTTTATTAACGATATGTAATGTGAGTTTATGTATGTATTTATATGAATATTTCATTATTATATTCTTACGATATTTAGTCTTTTTATTTGAATCGACTTTTTACTAACTAGTGGCAAATTAAATTAATTTTCAATTTTTTGTATGTTTAAATGAAGGCGGTAATTTGTAATTTGTAATTTTTCATTCAGTAAATTATAAATTTAGAGAACATGTTACAAATAGTTGGTCCTTAAGAGAGCGATTTTCTTTATATAAGAGTTTAGTTTTTTTGGTTTCTAACAGCTTGTTTGAAGGGTTCTGATATGAATGAGCGTTTCAAGAATCTCACTATGGAGTTCACCGATCTCGGTAACGTATCCCTTGTAACCGCTTATGGTCTTAGCTTCGTAGGGACTTTTGTTACGGATCGGCCGATCAATTTTCACATTATGAAACATCGTCTTGCCAATCTATGGCGGTCGTGGCGTGGTGTGTTTGTGCATCATTTTGTTCAAGTTTTAATTACCATCATCAGGATGTTCGTTGGGTTATGGAAGGAGGGCCATGGACATTCGACAATCATCAATTTCTTTTTCAATGACGTTGTTTTGTTTTGTCTTGTCGGGAATCTATTGTCGAATGTAAGATTCTAAAAAAGACTCTCACTTCTTATGAGGCTGCTTCGGGTCATGTGATTAACTTTGGCAAAATAGTAATAACTTGGTGCCTGATCTCAAAAATGCAATCTCCTTCATTCTGGGTGTCTCGAATCCTCTTAATATTATACCGGAAAATATTTAGGTTTCCCATATCTCATTGGTGGTGGTAAACACCACATTTTTAGACACCTGAAAGATCGGCTCTTGAATCGAATGCAAATGTGGCGCCAACGTCCTATTTCTAAAGCGGGCTGGGGTGTGCTATGCTTATTCGAACTACAGTGCAGCCCAAGCCATCATTGTGTACTTTTATGTTGAGAATTTATCAAAGTTAGATATATAAAAACTAACAAACATTTAATCTTTATAATCAAGTTTAACCTTTTATTAGCTGAAGATTATAAAAAATTAAACTTTTATGAATGAATAATAAGACGGTTACTTTTTAATATCCGGAATCCAAAACACCTCAAAACCGAACAATGTCAATGTCACATAGATTGAATTTATCATCCTTGATCAGGACTTTCAAATCCAAATACCACCCGAGGGAGAATTTTCTAAAAGCTTCATCTAGAGGAGTTTCTCCAAGTCTCAAATAGTCTTCTATCAATAAAGGCTACCAATAGAAGACTGGCAATGAGATCTCTATTAAGGTTTGGCAATTGGCATGGACCTTGGCTTAGGGAGGATCATAGCTTCCGTTTAGAAACGCCAAGCAATGATAACGGACGTCCTCTACGTACGAGTTAGTGACTTATCTAGCGTTAACACTCCGGGATGGGATGTGGCTCGTATTGGGCTCTTTTCTCCTTGAATGATGCTAAGGAAGTTCTAAGTGTTCCTCCCCCGCCATTAGTGGTGATGATACAATTATCTGGTAATGGCACTAGACTACCAATGAAGTGTGTTCGGTTAAGTTGGGGTATCGTTTGATATCTGAAAGGCACATATTTGTGGATTTCCCGGGGGAGGTGTGGTAGGAAGTGGGTCTCTGGGATATGATCGATAGACAAGTAGGTCATTCTAGCACGTTCACAGAATGACATATATAGCTTTTATTCACTATCTTATATGATCCTCCTCCTCTTGAAGCAGATAAGTTTATCATGATGTTGTGGAGTATTTGGGGTTCGTCAAAATGATATTTCGTGGTCTAATGAGGCGAGAGATCCTTCCTTGGTAATTCGAAGGGATATGGGAGTTCATCGTGATTGGTTGCAAGCTGCCTCTTTGTGGACTCCAGAAGAGCACCCACCTCCTCGGGACTGCTAGTGAGGTAATAGCTTATCAAGGCGATGTTTCACATTGCCTAGTATTCCACCAATTGCTAACCCAACATTTCCACTCAGATCCATTTGTATAAATCAACGAGGCCTAATCGATTAGTATCACATGGAAAACTGGTTAACGACAAATATTGTCATACTCCACTCACAGGCTTCCTTAAGTGCAACTCTGATGTGACTCTCTTTCGTAATGAAAATCGGGCGGGTATAGGGTGGTCATCCAGGATGAACATGACAACTTCTTTGCGGATCGTTCGTATAGTATTCATGGATTATAGCCTTCTTGGTGCCTTACAATGGGCTGTTGAATCATTTTCTCGCTCAACAATCTTGTTTTAACTCTTGTTTTGTTTCGTATTTTGATGTTCCTCATTTTCTTGTTTCTTGTATGAGTAACGTTTGTTCTTTGGGTGATCATTAATAAAAGTTCCTTTTACTTCAAAACAAAACATGTTACAAGTTTGGGAAGAAAATGAAGACTTAAAAAAGAAAGAAAAGGAAATGAAATGATAATTTTTATTCGCGTTATTAAAAGAAAAAACAAGGATAAAAAAAGAATGTAAATTTTCGTGCTTTTGAACCGGAAAGAAAGAAAAAGAAAACGTTACACTTTTATGAATATAACATAACCTTATTTATTTTACAAACATTTATAATTTAAAAAAACAATTAATTATCATTTATTTTTTTCTTTCCATGTTTGGAGAAAAGTTTTTAAAGAAAAATCAATATTATTTTACTTCATTTTCCTTTCCTATAAAAACTCAAAAATACAATCTTTTTTCTTTTCCAATACTTTTTTTCACATTCCGCACACGTGACCAACAATCACTCCATTGTAGCAAGAAGAAGCTGTGAGACACAAGTAGATGCCTCTTAGTTGAGGGCGGATCGAATCGCCTCCGTCTATAAATAAAAATGTCGAAAACCCAACGTTAAAAAAATCTTTAACACACCAACAAATACAAAACAGAAAGAAAAAAAAAACACATAATGGTTCTTCTACTTTGACCTTGTGAAGGTCAAATTTGGCCTCTAAAATGTATATACCATTATTGTGTTGCTTTTATGACTGTTATATGTCTTAATTAATATATAATATATTAAATAATATATTATATTAAGTTTGGTAATTTATTTATTTTATGTTTTAAAACTATAAATAATATCAACAAACATGTGATTA